ATGTCTTCAAATGTTTCCGAACTTCACACTTATTTAGCGCGCAAATTGTGTCTTGAATCTTCATCGCATTCTGAATGTTAGACTATGAAGACTTTCACGGCTGGCCAAATCACATTTTTAAATGTGCTTAAATGGCTTTGAAACCGTGGTCCATGGGAATTTCTTTCTAACGTTTCGGCCACAACTGCGCTGGACATTATCAAAGGCGATGAGGCAGTGGGCGAAGTGATCTCCCGTGCTTTCCGACTAAGACTGGTTCGACTACTGGATCCAGTAGTGCACCTTCGGGATTTAGACCATGGTGGAGGAAGGTTTTCCCTGATGTTTCGCTAGCACAAGTGGCTGGCATCTTCAGATGTGGGTTGCTCAACGCGGCAATCACCTCTGAAGACGCCAAGCCATTGGAGCTGGCATAACGTTAGGAAGACATTCTTTTCACCATCGTCTAAAAGCTTGAAAAACTTACCAGTTGGGGCACGACAACACTGGTTTGGACGCAAAAAATCTCAATCCGAAAATCGGAGATCTCAGATTCGCTTCAGTATAAACTGATTTTTTTAGCCGTAAAGGTGTCAACTTGGCACGTAGCAACGCGCTGGCCATCTTGCATCTCTCTCGGGCTTTTATGGGTGCGAGGGAGACTTCCGATGCCAACTGCGTTCTTGAATGGAAAATTCAATTTCGCTTGATTCATTCGAATGGGAATGTGTTAATCATTTCATTTAGTTTGATCTGTCTTTTAGCCAACCAACTCCCCGTTCTTTCGAGTCATTTTACTTAATCACAAATAGATGCTCAAGATGGTATGAAAGACATGGAAATTTGAATTTATTGTCTCAGTCTTAGTCGAAAAGCACGGGAGATCACTTCGCTCACTGTCTCATCGCCTTTGATAATGTCCAGTGCAGTTGTGGACGAAACGTCAGGAAGAAATTCCCATGGGCCCGGAAAACATTTCTAAAAGTAAAAACACGGAAATTAAATGCAAAATGTGGTTTTCCAGCGCCTTCGAACGGAAAACAAACAGTTGCGCCACAGATGCGAAATGCTAGAAGAAGAAAGCAAGGCCTTGGCCGACCGATTGGTGCGAGGGCAAGTGAGTAGGGCCGAAGAAGAAGAAACCACTTTCGTGGTGCAGCGCGAGCTTGAAGTGCTGCGCTACACGCATTTGGAGACCACCCATCAGCTGGCGCTGGCCAACGAGAAGATCCGCTCCCTGTCCCTGATGATGGAGGAAAACGTAACACCTCGTCCCCTAGGCCTGTGCAAAAACCCTCTGGTATTTTTCTAGCATTCCTCGCGCCAGTCATCGATCGAAGAAATCACTCTGAAGCAGGAGCAGCTGCAGCAGCGCGAGGAAATGATTGAGTGTCTGCAGGAAGAGCTGGTGAAGGTGCGACTGAGAGAAGCGGAAAACGACGCTCTCATCAGGGATTTGCGCTCCCGAATCCACGAGCTGGAAGAAGTAGCGTTTTAACCCCGCAATTATCCCCTGCTACAAACCGCTTGTTTCAGGATAAGAAAACTTTGCGGGAAACCACCCCCGATAACAGCGTGGCTCATTTGCAAGAAGAGCTCATCGCGGTGAAACTGCGCGAAGCTGAAGCCAACCTCTCCTTGAAGGATCTGAGGCAGAGGGTGTCGGAGCTGAGCAACCAGTGGCAGCGTCATCTGCAAGTGAGTGCTTTAGCGATGGGAAAATGAGGAGAGTGAAACTAAACTTGCAGGACCACAAGTCGAAACCAGAGCCTGCCGCCTCTAGCGATCCGCTCAGCACTCCCAAGAAGCTGCTGTTTGGCAACCGGAACAACGAAATCCAGAAAATCGAGGAGGAACTCATGACAACGAGAATCCGGGAGATGGAAACCCTCACTGAAGTCAAAGAGCTGAGACTGAAGGTATTTTCCGGGCTTGCGTAGGGTTGGATTGCCTATTATGGGTTGGCCCGCCCCTTAGGTGATGGAGCTGGAAACTCAGGTCCAGGTTGGAACCAATCAGCTTCGGCGCCAAGACGAGGAAATCAAGAAGCAGAGGGAGGCCCTGGAGTTGGCTGAGCTGCGCGACCGAAACGCCGCCGCCCGCCTATTGGAGGAGCAGCGAAGATACTCGAACTTGGAGAGCGAAATGCAGGACGAACTGATGAAGGCGCGAATCAGTGACGCCGAGAAGACGCAATCAGTTGCTGAGCTCACTCAAAAAATCAGCCAACTTGAGCTACAGGTAGGGTTTGAGGCTGGGGAAACCAGGAGTGGTTCCAGATGTTTTTGTTTCAGAGCCAGGAAATTGCTACAGAGGGCGAGCTGCGAATCCATTCGGTTGACGACAGCGATCGCGTGCGAGAACTTCAAGATAAAGTCGCCGACCTGCAGGCAGAGGTGAGTGATGATTTTTTTTTGAATCCTTAAAAGCACCGTGCTTAACCGCAGTCTTCGACTAAAAACTGTACATTCTGTAAATAATTCCCCTCACGCAATGAGATTGTTGTTTATTCCAAATCAAAATCAATTCCTGGGCTTCAGTCATTTATTGTCTATTTATCAATTAAAATACGTTTCGGTCTTTTCCGCCATCATCAGTTTCTCTAAAATAACAGATAGTAAAAAAATGTCATCATATCACACACTAAAATACATCACAATTGCAACACTTTAAAGCATTCTAAGATTAATTAGGCCTAACAGGTGATTAGTCAGGACAATCAATTCTGGGAAGAGACTAGAATTCTTTGTTCAAATACTCAATTATTTTTACTTACATGTGTAGCGTTGTTTTTTGCACACAAAGCGAAATACTGTTTATATTGGTTTCTTTTACTTTCAGGTATTTTTCTTTGCATTCTAAGAATATTATTTTTGGTTTGCAAAATTCTTCAATATACCGGGTGTTATTTAATATTCTATGTTTATTTCATTTAATTAATGTATGATATACTGAGCTAAGATTGTGGGTATCCGATCTGAAATTCATAGCACTGTTATGTTTTTTAATCTGTATCATTTCATGGACTCTTCTCTTATTATAATTACTCTCGTTAATCAGTATTTTTGTGTTATCAAAATCAAAATTA